TCAGGACTGTGTTTTGCAAGGTTGGGCAATTTCAGTCTGCCACTAAGTACCGCATTATTTCTGTTAAACGATCTCTCGGTACTAAAGCTGTTGTTCCGGGTTAGAGGTATCGAGCACTTTGTGATGATTCTCGATCAAAGGCAGATAAGCTCTTGACGTTCTGTCCGAAAAGAGCATTAATTTCACAGGCATTTGCAAACATCTAACTTTAGCCTTGAATAAGAACAACCGTATGCTGAAGACAGCGAAGAAAGTTATGCGGCGGTTTACTGGCTATAATTTCAAACGGATTCCGCGCGGTATACACAGTCGTCTTTCTTCAAAAAGTATAACCAGTGAAATGGACAATGGCACAGACTATCCCGAGCATCGTCTTAGTTTGTGATCAGCACCGCTCTACCTCTGTGAGCCTGGGACGCGTTTCCCATCCTGCAAGAGAACATCACTTATTCCTCTCTGGCTACTATCATAGAGTGTCATCGGAGGCTACGGTGTATAATAAAATGCAAATAAATTCGCTTGTTGACATGCTGTTTTGTCTTCATGAGTGAAGCCTTAGTTTTTCCCTCACACGTGCTTCACTGCTTTGTGATTCAGCTTACTTATCGGCACTAGGAACACGGCAAATCTTGGTATGAAAAGGCTCAAATAATTCTTGACGCTAGTTAGGTAATTAATTGCATTGCTTTATTTAACGGATATCATAGCCTGTATTTCCGTAAGTTTTCCTAGACCAAAAGTGGCTCGCTTAAACCTGCACACATGCCCAGGTAAACGAACGTTTTCGTTTCGAAGCTTCACTTTCTTAAACCTGTAAAAAACGGTAGAGATCTGTGTCGTCTTCTTTGCATCTATACCCTGATATCACGCTGCAGCAAGCGACATAGAACGGAAACACGCATTTGAAGTTCTGAACCCTAATCGGAGTATTTGCCTCGACTCTGATCATGCACTGGTACGCTGTCGTTTTACCATGAACTTTACTGGGAGGCGTACCAAGTATCCCCACGATTGGCAAAAGACAATTCATTTCAGACCTCGGTTAGGCAAGTCTGCCAGGATGAACTGCGTACCGAACGTTCGCTCACGTGTCTTAATGTTAATGAGCTACTGTGGAACAGGATCCCGGCCGCCGTGCGCGACGCAGGAGCATCTGCTCGTGGTCCTATCACTCGGCACCGCAACATTCACTGGATGTCCGAGAGGTCGATGTACTTGTTGCAGTCCAGAAGAAAACGCTCATCTGGCTCTGAGCACCTTATTACCAGACGGACTATTAGGCGCGAAATAAAGTGGAGCCTGAGCGCAGACAAGGAAGCATGGAAAGGAAACGCTCAGCAAAGGGCGAAAGCAGGAGCACTACGCAATTATCGCAAACTCTTCTAACTAATCCGCACCAAGGGTACCTGGAAACCAAGCGTCAGGGAGACAGTCAGAGACAGCGCGGATGCCCTGAATTACAATAACCAGCGCCGCATGGCACGTTTGGCCGTACACTTTTAAGATCCCTTTGGATGGTCCCCTCTTCCTTTATCTCTTCCTACTCAAATGATGCTAGGTGAACCATGGACAGTTAGTTTAAAGGCTACATCGGAAGCTGAGGTCCGGAACGCGCTCAGAGCCTTTACTTGCTTTCGAGCAGCTGGCCCTGACTCCCTCTGCAAAGCACTGACTTCCCTGTTCGAACAGATCTGGAAGGAACAAACCATCCCAGTTAATCAGAGTTAGTCGATTATAATGGCAGTATCTAGGATGGGAAGTCGCACCGACTGTGATGACCACAGGGGATTAGCCTAACGCCGGTGATGACAAAGTTACTGGCCCCAATTCTCGTTTGTCGCCTCACAGCGAAGCGAGAATCTCGGATTCTGGAAGGGAAGCCAGGTTTCTGCCCATGATGATGTTATGTAGACCATATATTTGGTAGGTGACAAAGTAGCAGCAAGAATATCACAGACCGAAAATAGCTGTGTTCCTCGATTTTAACAGTACGTTCGCCTCACTCGGTCGATGCATTCTGTTCGAAATGCATGAGTGGAAAAGCGTTTCCACCAAATGTGTGAGCAGTTTACGTGCTCTGTACTCGAACACCACAAGCCGCGTCAGGCTGTGCGGTGGCCTGTCGGATATCATTCCAACAACAAATAGTTCTCTTCAGAGTTACCCAATCTCCCCACTTTTATCAACTTTCGTCGTGGATTGCATTATGGAGTGTTTCCTTGCAAAAACTCACAATGCAATCGCTGTGGGGTTGGCTGGGAAAAACCTAGTTAATCCTTTTTGAGGCTGACGATATTGTGCTGATTTTAACGATCTTGGCATGGTGCAACTAACTCTGAATAACATCTTTAGAGTGGTCACACCTTTCAGCATGCGCTTCGCAAATGCAGATTGCAGAGTGTTGCTGCAATTCCACCAACCACTTATGACCGTTTTCTCCTTTATAGCGAGGAACTCTAGGTGGTTGATTGATTCACTTCCCTTGGCAGCTGCATCAGCAAGCATAGGCGCCTAAACATTGAAATCAGCTGACATATTGCATTCGGAAGCGCTTTTTGGAACCTGCGACATCTTTAGCGTCGAAAATGGGATTTTATATCTGAATGTCATGTTTACAAGACCACAGTATGGGCCATACTAATTTACGAGAGTGAGACTTGGTACTTGAGGCAAATTCCAGGCTCTGACCACCGCTGTCTGCGGAGCATTGTTGGTGTCGGGTGGCACCAAGGTGTCCGCAACGATGATGTACGTAGGCGAGTACTAGGCAGTAATAATAAACTTAGTTCTTAATAAAGGCAGCAAGTACTGAATGAGTTGCGTTGGCTTGGCCACGTACTATAGATTCACGGTCACCGCTTTCCGATGATGACATTGTTTTGTCTGCCAGATGTATAGTGGCGCAAGGTGGACATAATTTGGCTTGGCAGTGGAAGATGAAGCAACTGACGAGCAAACTCGGTGCCCACGGTCCGTTTCGCCTTCCAGGCTGGAGTCCAAGTGACTCCCCCAGTGCTTGGCTCCTGATGTTACAGAAAATGGCTCGCAGTCGGCATCAGTGGTGCGTCTGTTGCTGTCTCCTAGTCGGATTTCCTGTTCATAGTGCGTTTGCTGCTTTGTCATCTGCTGGGTAATGGCTGTTTATGACTGAAATCCGATAGAAAGCTGGCTCGCCGATGTCTCCATATTTTTGCACAGTAGCCGGCAGTTTGTGACGGTATGTGGTTGACAAGGTGTAGGCGCCTTGACCTGATTATTTGTTTAGGACATTAAAGTGTTCCGGTAAGTCCAATTTCTCTCCCTTACCACCATATTTTCGTAGGTTGTTGTGGCTGCATAACTGTGAAGCTTCAATTTAACTGGCTGGTCTATTACTGTTGTGGTCGTTGTTGACGAGGATGATGATGGTGATGACACCAGAGGTTGTGGTCGAAGTACAGAGCTAACACATCATCTTTATTGACCATTATTTCTGAAAAAGCGGACGTAAACGACAGTGGGGCCTTGCTATCAGTTGTCTCGGTACATAACCATATTTGCGTGGTAACAGTGTAGTCCAACGCATTTAGACCCGATTGAAGTCGCCGTGTAGTTAATATTTTGAGCACGGTTTGAGTGCTACCGTGGATGCAGATGACTTATTCTAAAGACAAATGTGTGCTGAGATATTGAAAGGAACCAATGAATTTACACCGAACGACACCTCGCCGCCGCTACTGAGCTTTATGATTGACTGCCAATAAAGGCCGTGACAGTGGTAGTCCATTTTCAACCCAACCAGCGCATGCAGAATGCGATGTAACATTATCTATGTCTTTGGCTAGAATCATATGCTTAGCGTTTTATGAAACGTTATTGTGGCTATCTGGGGTTCCAATTTTGTTGTATTCTCAATGAAAATAGTCTGGTATCTGTCGTTTTTAACCGCCGTTCGTATTCGTCTTCTGTGAAGTCCATCTAGCCATACATCACGTCTACTAACTTTTGGGACGGAAATAAACGCTTTAACGTTCCCGGAGTCCATCCCATCTAACAGAGCGAAAGTGCTATCGCCGATATCAACCGAGCAATGACGCCTTTGCCAGAGAGGGTGAGTTTCTTAGATATACTGTTAATTTCCCAACGGTTGGAAGTCAGGATGAACCATGTGCAAAAATATTTTGGTGGTTATCCACGAGGTGGTCGTTCCTGTCCTTTTGTCGCTTTGGTGCATGCTCCTTTGAAAGCAACTGTCCGACTGGCTGCATCAAGTCGGCGGTGGGATAACAGTAGAATGGCCTCTTTATAATTCCCCGGCACCGCATTATTCGAACAAGGGGCTCCTCACCAAAGAGCATGGGATTCGGATGTCCAGTAGAGTGCATTAATCCAGCAGACATCCAAAGCACTCACACCACACATGGATTCATACTGGTTTGGACGGTTAGGCTAATTAGCTAATTGATTTCATTTTACACATAGGAAGTTTGGTGATTATAATTGTTAGGGAAGCGTCGTTTTATCTGCTATCCAGTAGCATTGGTTGTGTAGCAATCGCTGGCCGTGATAACTTGACGGATTTGGTCGTGAACTCCCCCCCCCCCAAGTTTGCATATTAATCTAAGCGTTTTCTGTTTGATACAATTGAGACAAATGATATTGCCTTTCGGACATACTGGGCACTAACCGACGCATAAACTACACGGTGTCGGTAATTGGCCACCGCAGGTTACTCACCGAGGACCCACCGATACATCAGCTTTAGTCCAACCCACCTGTTTCACTGTAGTCATGGTAGAAAGTACCTTGGTCGAATTGAGAGTATGTTGTCTGAAAAAATCGCAGAGCACATTACTCCTAACATGATTGCAAGAGACCTCAAACCACTTACAAGCTTGATTACTCGCGGCATACGTGCTTACTCATGATTTATTTGTTCCATTGACCACTGAATGCAGCTTTATCCAAAATACTATGCAATGCGTTTTACTTTCAAACTAACCTGGAATATATTTACTTACTTCTTAACGAAGTAGTTCCATTCCGCTCTCCCATGATGCTACTAGCGGAGCAAACGTAATCCCCGAAGTCATCCGGTGAGATTCGAAAAATTGTCAACTTGGATATAACAGGGGCCAGGACGTCACGTTCGTCCGGATGATATTCATCTACAGGAAGCGTTAAAGATGGATAAAATCCTAATAAGCAACAGTAAATAAATAAATTGAATAAGCGCCTGGTCTCCCTGTGAACTGACATGGATCTCGCAAGTCAAAGCGCACACATGGTTTATTCAGCCTTTGCTACAATTAACCAACACATCTGTCAGCTTGAAACCACCTGTCGTACTGTTTCCAATGAAAACACTCGGATATATAATCTGCAGATTGCTTTCTATGACCATTCTTCAGATTTGGCGTATTCGCAGTCACAACAACCGCGCACTACCGTATGGTTTTGGATTTTATAAGATTATTTTTTGTGCTGTCTGGATTGCAACATCAAAGTGTACCCAACGAGACCATACACAACCTCATCGGTTGTCGCATACGCTAGCTATTGCTGAAAGTGATTCAGCCTTTGTCTAGAACCTGCTTGTAAACCAGAGAAACCGGTTTCGCACCGGTTGCAACCTGCCTGAAGTGTGCCACCGCCTTGGCTCAATCGATAAGACCGAAGAGCGCGAACGATCTTGACGTGAAACGAATAACGGTACGCTTAGTCTACCTGAAGCCCCATGTTCTCCCCTGCACAGGTAGATAAGATCTATAGGTCACTAGCTGCTTATATTTCGTTCCATGTCACTCAGTTGATCAGCGCGAGATTAGCGGTTAGAGTTTAATTAAATAAAGCAATGCTAGCAGCTGTTGTGTGCGCTTACTATTCTGTTTTACCCTCGTCCATCTGGTGTTTTTGCGCCTCAATCGCTTGCAAAACTTGAAAGCAAATAGTATCATATCATGACAGCCGTAAAAGCATGCACCCCTTGAGGAAGCATGTACTCCCGGTCGGCTACCGTCATGAACAATATCACAACAGTCACAAAAAGCACTGAAAATATTATTCCCTTCAGCACACAGAACCATAAATACTCTGGATTACAGGACATAATAAACATGTATGAAAGAGCCGTGGGAGACTTGCAAGAAATTTTAGCTGCTGTTGGGCCTCTGTTTACTTCATAAAATCACTTCTCATATTATCTAAGCTACGTCCTAATCCGTCATCAGGCCACCTGCATATTGTTGGTAACCAATAATGTGTTTTCCGCTGAAGTACTGAACGGATTATACGTGCAAGTAATGCCGTATTTTTTAATGTCCCAAATACGCTGCCTCTTAAGAAGCTGAGTCATCAGCTACTAAACACTACCGTGCTTCAGAATAAAGAGTGCTTTGCCCTACCTCCAAAATGGGGCTTGATGCATTGGTGGCCGGTGCTACTGAAATTCAAAAACGCTGAGAGCGCAAAATTGTGAATGCGGAGTATGTCAGCTATAAGAACGACAACTAAACTTGAGAAGGTAGTTGTGAGGACGAATAAAACCGTACTTGCGCGAATACATGCACCCGTTCAAAAGAAATAACCCTGCCGACCATTGGCAAACCGCCTTATGAATCACATGTGATGATGACATCTACTCAAATGCTTAGTTCACCACAGATCTAGATGATTTCGCGACTGCTGTTGAATGCCTGCCAACAAAACCGATCTTTAGTAGCAATGTCGACCCTTTCCACGTATCTAATACTATCACAAACACTACTACATTAACGAAACTAGTGCTAACACCGACATTCTCCGCAGATCTACCTAGATGCTATTCAGGTTCTCGGCATATCTTCTTCACAAATGACACCAGCCTAGACAACACGATCAACATCAGCGCCACACATGACTAAACCTACAATCTGATGAATGGTAAGAAAATTAGTACCATTACTTACACGCACTCCAATTTGCCCAACCCCGGCAAAGCCACTCAGACCCACTTTGAGGAAGTTGGCATCCCATAACCGACCCATAGCAATTAACTGTCCAGATGCTGCTCCTATGGGGGAAGTATATAATCATCTTAATGTAGACTCCATCATCATCATACTGACACAAGGACAAATCGATTATACTCGCCCTGTGAAGCTCTTTGTTTCTATCCTTCTGCTGCGAATACCGCGCTTAATCAATGCAGTCGGCTCTACGGAGTGACACCTTATGAAGATCTAACATTTAGGTATCCATCCATAGGTATCCATCCATAAAGGTAAGCCGACTATGTTTGCCACGACATCACCCATCACATGCCTGAGAGCGAAGATTGCAAATTATCTCAAATGTCGCTCAGATGCCTGACTCCCGTTCATAGCCTGCTCTCCTTTTAGGTTTATCAGCGACAATACAGCCGCCAACCCTAATGAACCAACTGAGTCAACAGTTCTTCCAGCAGATCATCAATTTAACGGGAATACCCAGCGATGGGTATTCCGAGTGTGCTTACGCATGTTCCTCCACTTTATCGGATGGTGCCCTTTGTTCAACCATTTATAGGCAATAAATCTGAAGCGTTCGTCCCTCGCCTGAATGGACGCTCGATTCCCAATCAAACCCGAAGTCGCTGGCCCTCCACAGGACAGAGAGAAGACATGATCGGACGAGCAGAGCAATAGGAATGCATTAGCAAATCACGCCGTTCATTATAAAGGTAAAATGGGAAGTTCGTGAATAGTATATAAAGCGACCGTGGAAAGCTCTGGAAAGGTTAACTTGCAACCAATAAAGGAACTGCTACCTAGCGTTCATTGGCCGCTTCTCCTGGTTGTCTTTCTGTTCGCCCCAATCAGGGCGGATGAGTTTGGATCGCTGGCCGCGGCGATGTGTCCTGACTTGTTCGACTCGCGTATTCCTTCCTAACAAAATCTACCGACACATCGTGGATATGTTAGATCAAGTCTCTTAAGCGACACCAGGTAAAGATGACCATTCTCGGCTGTATCTATTTCAAATCAGCCAACCGTATAACCCCCGCCTCAAAAATCTTCAGCAAACCGGCACTATTTGCGCCGGTCACCCACAGCGAGCTAAACTACGAATGCATCCATAAATACAATGCTACTACACTAAAACTCAGGAGTTGTATTCGAAGCTCCTAGAACTGCTCCATAGACTTGAAACAACAACTTGAGACCTAATAGCAGTTACTGAAACTTGGCTTTCAAACGACACATTTGATGCGGAGATTGAACTCAGTGAGATACCACTCATTCGAAATGACTGTCCATCTTGCGGTGGCGATGTTGCCCTCTACTATCAAGATTACTTGCACTTTGAGGCTCTTACTGCACATTCCATTGTTATTCCTGACGCATTATTTTGCCTACTGCAGCGAGCAGGTCGAAATGTTAGTTCACAGAAGACGCGTGATGCTTGTCGCTTAGCAGTTATCTATAGACTACCGAGCTCGTCAGCAGACTGCGACAAAACTCTGTTACAAGCTCTCCGATATGCTGCTTCACAACAGTAAAGTTGCCAACGCGCGAATTTACTGTTCCTTCAATGACAGCAATGTCCCCCAAATGAGCCATCATTTAAATTGTAGATGAATATTCACCAATGCAGGGTGCATAAAGCAATTTCTTGACTTGACTTGAAGCTCCTTGAATTCATGGATATGGCAGTTTTGTATAACCATGTGCATCGAGCAACCACACACCGCGGTCAAACAAGAAATTAATTCTGACTACTACTCCTCTGTAGTGAAGAGTTGATGGTAGAGTCAGTAGCATACAACACTCTAATGGGCCGTGGCGATCATTCAGTCCTAAAGTTTGGTTATGTGTTCTATACAGGTATGGTTGATAAAGAACGAGAAACACAAAGAAATATTACTGACGGTTCCAAAATTCCTAACCTAGCGACAGCCGTTTACTGGGGCCTATAGATCCACGCTTCGGCGAATGACGAATGGGATGAACTGAATGGTAAAGTTAAATGCGTCAGACTGTTACGAGAACGATGGTAGGGAGCGTACAGTCCTTATTGCCAACTCACAACGGGTTCACAGGCTAGCACGTACGCGCGCGCGTATAGAGCACATTTCCCGACCACCACGCATCACACATTGTCCTTTCACTCAGTGTCGCATTCATGCCCCACATTCGGAAGTCGTCAAAGCCGCCGCTCGCCGATTTAACCTCCTATCTTCGATTCCGCGCATCCTAATCCAACCGGACTGGATTCGTTTTAATGCTTTTGACTTCATTAATCGGGGTTGCGTCGCTCTACTTGTGGTTATTCCTGGAGGCGCGGCCAAGCGTGCAACTTTCCGGAAAATCGGGCTGTTCACCAATGCGTCCCCCGCTGTTCTTGGCCTGGGCCTGAGACCGTTTGTCGTTTGTTGTCCGTTTCACCTGGTTGTTCACCTGGTTGGGAGACTATTTACACGACAGAGCAATCAAGGTAAGAGTGGCCGACACTCAATCTGAAAGCCTGTGCGTCTCCAGTGGGGTACCGCCAGGATCCATCCTCTGCCCGCTACAGTTTTTATTTTACATAAATGACATCCCAGAAAACATTTACATTCCCGATGCAGATATTTGCAGATGATGTTAAATTATGGAGAGAAATTCGCTCAGCGTCCGACCGTGTCTATCTCCAGAATGATCTGGCTCGGATTAACGAATAGGCACAAAGGAATCAGCTCCACTGAACCCTGCAAAGTGCCATCTGCTGACGGTGCGCAGCAGCTTCGTCAACACAGATTTTTTTGAGGCAACACCTCCTACAACACGTGACTAGCGAAAGCGACTTAGGTATCACCATGCAAGCAAGTCTTGGCAATTCACTCCAATGTTCGAAAGCAGCGAATGTGGCAACCTTGAGGCTTTTGAGGCGAGCTCTGGACACCTTTGAGCAACTGGTAGTACCAATGTTGATTAACTCCTATATTCGTCCTCACCTTGAATATGCAATTCAGGTCTGGTGTCCATGGTTAAAATGAGATATTCGCTTATTAGCAAAACCCCAATGAAGAGTCACATAGGCAACGCTTGGACTATCCCGTCTCAGCCACGAACAGCGCCTTCGTTTATCCCGTGTGTTCTCCTCCGATTGCCGACTGCATCGCGGAGATCTCATTCTCACCTACCGGATACTAACTGAGCGCGAGCATCCA